TAATTGTCTTCACGAATCGATCGATCCGATCATTTTCGTTAGTTAGTAATCCTTCTAGGAGTAATTTCCCCGTATGTTCAACTGTTCCGCGGCTTATTACTCCATGGAAGAAGCCTTTTAATTAATTGGCCTATAAGAACAATCTGCGCGACGATCTGCATCATGCCCTCTCCGTAGTGAGGCAACGTTGGCCTTCCTTACGCGGCGTTTAAGGCACGTGCTTTTCACTGCAGTGCAAGATAATCTCTTCTCCGTTTAGAGCCTCCTTACGGCGTTTCTGATTTCTATGAGTTTCTAACATCCTCCCCGTAAACTTTTCCAACTTACAAAGGCTTAGCGTTATGATCATTTAGCACGTCTGATTACCGCTCTAAAAGACATCTCGGCCCCTCTCTCTCTCTCTCTCTCTCTCTCTCTCATTCTTCTTATTTCATAAGCAAAGGTTTTTCTAGATAGAATAAAAATAAATAGGTAATGTGTCAGAAAATTAATATAAAAATCTGCACTGTTAGAAATGTTTGTAAATTTACAGTACTCTTACAATAAAAATATGCAGTAAATTTATAAATCATATAGAGTAACCTATTAATGTTCCAATTAATGTGTTTTTGTATTTCAATAAACCGTAAAGAAAATAGCACGAATAAATAAGAAAAAATATTTTTTTTTGTTGTCAAGTTAAATTATTAATAAGATATAAAAGATAATATTTTATTTTTTAATTATTAAAATATTTTAAATATTTTTCGAAAGATATGAAAAATTTATGTGAATCCGGTAATACGTACTACAAGATTTTAAGCTTATCCCTATTAATGTGCCCTGTATTGAAGTTGAGAACGTTGTGTTATGAGTGTATATTGAAATAATGATTTATGTAATATATTATAACTTAAACAATTAACTTAAATTTATTACCTGTTTTGGTAACTATATGTTAAAATGAATCAAATGCGGATAAAAAAATAAACACACAAATTGGAAGCACATTAACAGGCCCATCATCACTTGGAGGACTCGCTAGGGACAAAAACATGTTTGTTATGTTTATCAAATCATTATCAAGTATTAACATTTTTTAGATTAAAAAAATATTATAAAAAAAAGAAATAGTTGAAAAATCGATATTGGTTGCAAGCAGATAAAATTAAAGCTACAATATTTAATAATTAATTCAATAATAAGTAAATTGGCTGAAAGGCACATTAACCTACAGTAACCCTAACGTTTTGTTGTGATTTCACAATATTTGTAAATTTACAACAGAAATTTACAAAACTGGCGCGCCGCGCATGTGTATTACAGATTTGGATATACTCGTATTTTATCACAAAATGTTATTGTAATTTCACAATATAACTGTTTAAATTTGTTTAAATAAACAGCACTTTTGTTAGATAAAAATTTCCAACACTTTTGAAAGTTTATAACAAAAACTTCTTACAGTGTACCGATATATGTTAGCTACATCAAAAGTCGCATAATAGCAATTGTCACTCTAATTTCTTCGCTTTACGCACTATGCATGAACCGATAAATATTAACGATGCACACGTCCGCGTCCACTGGATATTGAACGTTGCTTAAATCATTTCCAAACTGAACGAAGACGTTATAATCGCGCGTGTGAAATGGCAGCGTGTCGGGTCATAAATTTCTGCACAACGTATTTACTGCCGTGAACGAATAATCGCAAAAGCGCAATGTACGCTGGACACACACGTGTTATAAACGATGACTGTACCCGGATTTATTGCAGCACCATGTTGTCACAACCTTTCTCCGATAGCTCCCCCATATTTTCTTTTTATTTCCTGTTCCTTGTATTTCCAAATGGATATTGCATCGCTCGAAAATTTAGCATGTATTTAGTAGCAATCCATTCCATCAAATATTATATTTAAAATTATTCAATCTTTTTCTTACAAAATTGCTTTCCCTAAAAAATATATTTTGAAAAAAAAAAAAGTTTTTTTCAAGTTCGATTTATGCAATCTTCCTTTTCAAATAACAATTGTTATTAATTTGAAAAGAAAGATTGCATAAATCGAACTTGAAAAAAAAAAACTTTTTTATAAGTTACGAAAAAAGTTGAAAGTTAAGTTAACGCGTTGTATCGAAGAGACTGGTGATGAACAATCACATTTCCAAAATCATTAATAAGGAAGTAGATCACTATTGTAAGAAGAAGCTAAGAAAAGGCAAAAAAGAAGGGGCGAGACTCCATTCTGGGCAACCACCGGCATGCGACAAAATTATTTCGCGGCACCAAAAGTGCCGACGTCTGCATTACGCCGAGAAAATGCGAAGATGAGGAAATCAAAAGTGGGAGGAGAAAAGAGAGGAAAACGAGAAAAGACCTAAGAGAAAGAGAGAAGTTACGGACAGGCGGCAAGGAGAGGCGCGCGCGTCTTGCGGCAGGAGGCAGTAATTGCGTTATTAACTTAAAAGTGAGGTTCTCCAGAGAGGACCGGAGGCGAGAAAGGGAGAGGGACAAAGGGGGGAAGAATAGGAGAGAAAGAAAGAAAGAGAGAGAGAGAGAGAGAGCGCGCGCGACATCAGAATGTTGCCGGTCGGTCTTTGCCGCGGAGTCCGCGTAGTCTTTCGCGGTACCGCCGTATATACCTGCGAAACGACAGCGCGGATACAGAATTGCAGGTGAACCGCCACGGACCCACCCGTGGCGGCACGCGATGAGAGACCATGGATAAGATATCGTTATTGCTATTATGGCGGATCGACAGTCAGTCTTCAGATTGGCCGGCGTTAAAAAATAACAGAGCGCATCTCTTTTTTCGAGGCAATTGACTGAATTAAAGTGAAACTTTTTAAATTTAAATTAGACGATCACTAAAAATTAAACTATTTTATTTGGCTTAGTATTATGGTTTCATAGACGAAAAGATGTAATAAAGCTTTCTTCAATGAAATAAAATTAATAATGATTTTTAAGAAATATGACGTACACAAGCGTTTTGAGCAATATGTGTGCATCTTTAGATGATATCGGAGTAAAAAAAACAAAAACGATGTAAGATGTAGTATGGAATAAGTAAATCATGCGATTTCTTATTGCGTGCACGAAGTTAACGAGATGCGAGAAATTCCTAGCTAACCCTCTGCTATGAACAAATAGTCAGATCGAGTAACGCGAGGAACGCTCGCGAGCAATTCCATGCTATCATTTTGCAGGTATGTACTATGTATAGTAAATAAAAATCATAAAAGAGAGGGAGGGGGGGGAGAGAGAGAGAGATAGAGAGAGAAAGAGAGATGCAGCATTTTAATCTCGTTCAGTGAAACGAAAGATGATTGCATCTTCTAGTTGCAGAAAAACAGAAAGAGGAATGTAACTTTGTTACATCTTGTGAGTGGCTTCAAACATATATACAGCGAAACTGTAGCATGCGTTGAAGAACACAAACGCGAAATTTATATGGATGTAAGTGTGACCATATATGTAATAACGCGTGTTGAAAACTGACGAGCTCCCTGCATCTCTAGATAATATACAAAAAGAAAAGTAAGAAGAAAAATGTAATATGCAATGATTTTCGTTTCAACAGTTTGATATGCATAACCAAATCTAATATAATTTTGCGTGTATAAAGTTAACACAACATTAAGATTCCTTAATTTTGATTACAGAGTTTCTGTTTCATTTTAAAGAAAGATCAAGAGTTCCCTATAATTTTATCTCATTCGGTTTACTGCCTATCGTGATTTCGTTATTTTATTTAATTTTAATGATGTGAATAACAAGACAATGCGCGAATTAACGTTCTACGTGCATTGAGTATGACTGCATTCGTATGGAATCGCGTTTATACGTATACTCGATTTTTCGAATACGTTACCTATGATCGGCTTTACACCGTGATTATATCAGGTAGGGAAGCATCTTCCGTGGACCAGGCTTAATAGAGACGTAACATCATACGTTACACAAAGCAGCGGGCTGAGTCACGACTGATCAATGTTACACGCGGTAGGTTCAACCTCCGAACCTCTTTTTTACCTTTCTTCTATTGATAAGTCAATCAATCGAGATAGATCATCTTTATTCGATTACGTCGGCTAGGTTATGGATTTATTTTCATTTTTAATTGATGAACAAAAGTAAACACGTGATCTGTTTGTTCACATTGACGTTAAACAATAAATTAGAAAATCGAGTATTTTGAATAATCAAATTAAAGCTCTGCTCTTTATTACTGACGTTAGATTAAGACTGACATAAAATTTTAATTAAAAAAATATATATATCATTGAAGAATCTGTTGAAAAGAGACACGCAACGTTTGTCTGTGACATGCGTAATTGTATACACTGGATGTAGAAAATTTCTCGAGAATTTTGATTCATGTAGATTTTTATTCACGGCGTCTGGGGGAGAGCAGCCATATTTTATATGTAAGTTATGCGTCTCACGTTGTACATTATTTTCCGGCTTTTGTCCGGCGAATTTAATGCCCGTGCCAGCCGAAATATCTCGGAAGGGAATCAAAGTACCGTGTCTCTTTCGTTGTACACGGACTTGAAGGACGCGCACTCCAGCGCGAGTATAAGTACCTTATGTTCCCACGCTGGAGCAGCCTCGAGGGCTTCCCATTCCGCTATCGGCTCCTCACATTGCCCGGTATTATGTAGGTATGTATGTACCTTCTCGTACTTGAAGAAGGCGTATGTACAGGGTGTACCAGTGAAACATATTGAGCCATGGTTTCGTGAAACGAATTAACAAACGTCAAAGAGAGACGGTCAAGAAAGAGAAAGAAAAGTGTCTGCGCTTCAAGCTTTCATAAATGTTCGACTAACATAATCGAGCTCAGTTGAACTGAAAATGGTAGTAAAAAGAAATTGTAAAATCGGATTGAAAATTTGATTGAAAATACATTGGCAGAAGCGCAATTGTTCGGTTAAAATATTAGTTATATTATTACAATATGAAATCGTCATATTATTAGTAATTTAGTCGTTAAACTAAGCCTAACACTCACCTGGCAAACCTCTCCTTGTCCTGGACGTTGTCATCGTCCAGTCTCCTATATTTACAGCCACTCGGATCATCTTCATCAGATCTGCAAAATAAATCAAAAGTGCATTAGTTCGTGTAATGACAAGTTCTTGTTTATCAAATCTTGTATCAAGATATTGGTTATTTTAACAATAAATTAATTTAATAAATCAGTTTACTGTTTTAATTTCGTTTCATTATTTAAATGTTCCATGGAATACTGTCCTATGACAATTATTGATACCTGAAAACAGGTTAAATTAAATAAACGTATAAAAGAATGTATTTTTTTTTTAGGTACCAATCTGTTAAGGATAAATGGATGTGGATAGCCAAGTTCAGCACCCGAAAGGAACAAATAATAGAAATTCCGCGTGCGTCGCGTCACCGATACGTAAAGTGTAATCGCTTCCGGACAGCCAAACGTGACCGTACGTTCCAAAATTGGTCACTGGCAGGATTGTCGACGGCCTTTCTCCTTCCTTTAAATCTAGAACGCTCATAACAATAAGTGACGACAAGAATATGATGCACGATATTCATACTCATTCATTCCGACTTTTTCATTCAAGCTATCATTGAATCGTTATAATCATTAATAAAATATTTTAAACACAAGAGCACTGATTATCTTTCCTTTATAATATATCGTAAAGAAACTTTATCTTTCTTAATCCGTAATTGTTCGTTCCATAATATAAAGTTATTATTGGACTATAATGATTAACATGAATTTTCGAAGAAAAAAATAATAATCGACTATTTCATTCTGTTATAACTTATCATTATGCAAAGAGATTCTATATGCAAAGAACAATTTTGCTGAAAGTTTATCTAGATATAGATTTGAAAATAAATTTGTTGGATCAGCAAAATAATAAAATTAGACACTCAAACTGGTTACTAGAATGCCAAAACTTTTTGCTCATCATACATCAGCCTAATTATTTTCATGGTCTAACAAAATTATCTTTAAGTATATATTTACAGTTAAATTTTTAGATATTTCAGCAAATTCATTCTTTTCGTAAACTATCTCTTTAAAGATGTATCACATTCCCTGCAAAGAATAAATAAAAATTAAATTTGGAGATGTATTATATTTAATACTTACTTCAAATAAATTATATACATATGAAAGTTATGTGAATAAGATTACGTTTTATTCAATAATACATTTTTGTCGTTTATTTATTTTATTTATTATTAAAAATTAAAATTTTAAAAATGATAACAAAAATTTAAATTTTTAAAATAAGTTCTTTAAATATTCAAAGTAATTTATGCAAGGTTTCATTGCGACTTACTGATTAGTTACAAAGATATAGAATAAATAAATATTTTATTTACTGGACAACAATTTCATGCATCGTAATGTAACTCTATAAATAAATAATCTTGAATATATTATGTACTTATATTAAAGAATTGAGATTTTTATCATTTATTTTATATTACATTTCATACATTTTTATTAGAGCACAGTTTTAAAAAATACTATACGGAGATAATTTTCTTTTAAAATTTACCCTCTCTCTGAAAATATGGTAATTATAATACAATACAATATTATATTTTAAAGATTTTTATCATGCACTTCAGTAAAATTAATCAAATTATTATTTTCATACTTTATGGTAGTTTTATTAATGAATGAGAGAGATTTACATTAAAAAATTCTTTGAAATACAATGTTGTCCGATTATCATATTTACAAGGTAAACTCTAAGAAAAAATTCTCTTCGTGTACTATTTAAAATAATTTATGCATTAACTGACGCAGATAGTAAACCGTTACCAAATTTGTCATATTATTTTTAAACGTAATTTAGAATAAACTATTACTCATTTTTTCATAATTTTATCATTTTGAAAATACGTATAAAACATCCTTAATTGATCGTAATTCATAATTCTATATAAACTGATGATTATATAGAATAATTATATGAAAATACGATATATAAACGTATGATATGATGTTTATCAAATATAATTATTCATCAGGTTAGTATATATTATTATATATTTAATCCTTGAAAAGATCGAAATGAGATATGCGATTATCACGTCGCTATCGATCGATTATAGCGTTGAATTCACCGAAGCCCGGGAGCGACAGCGTCTACGAGTCGCTTTCGGAGGAACAGTGGGAGAGAAGAGGGATGAGGATAGCACCGATAAATCCGTCACCGATCGTCTCATTACCGGCGTAGGAGAGCGTGTGTACCGTCTCTCTACCGAACGCGATAGAAAATTATGCTCTCATTGCGAGAGCAGACTCCACGCTCGCGCGCAGAAATCCGGCCGATCGTCAGTCTGTATTGCACAGCGTCCGCGCGGGTGATGTACGATTCTGACCCTGAGCGAAAAAGCGAGACCCCTTTACTTACCAGCACCCTTCTACCCGCTGACCCTCTACTTCGCCCTACCCCGCGCTCGTATCCCTCCGCGAGGTTCGCTCACCGGTGAACGTCGCGTTGAAGAGACGGTGTACGGCCTCTTTGCCCTCCTCCCCCCCCTCCCCTCCCTCTTACGTTTCCCCGTCGCAAAGTCCGTAGGACCCAACAGACCCGAGGTAGGGATGGTGTAGGGCCTGGCAGCGAGTGTATCCGGGTATCGCGAGAGCTCGAGGGGGGTTGAGAGAGAGAGAAAGCCTCCCCACTCCTTTATTCCTTTGCTCCCTCTCCTTCATCTTCCTTGCGCGGGAACCTTCTTGGTTCCCTTAGTCCCCACGTTCTCCGCGTTCCTTTTTTCCTGCTCCTCTTCCTTTTCGCAAGAGAGCGAGAGGAATGAGTGAGTGAGAGAGAGAGAGAGAGAGAGAGAGAGAGAAATGAGGGAGGAGAGGGAGTTACGGAGACTTATGGAGTACATAATGATGCGCCCCGCGGTATTACGTCGACTTAACGGACGCGTATGCGTGCTTCGCAAGCGATGAAGTCGACGACGTCGAGAAGTATTCGCAGCGGGCGGGCAAAGCCTCAGGGGTATGCTGAAGTTTTAGAAGAAGAAAAGAAGTGGTCTATGTAAATCGATCGTGAACGTTCGCTATGAATTGAAGAGTGAAGCTATGATTTCCGCATATAACTGTCGGAGGTGCAGTTTCGACGATTCTTCTGTAAGATGTCTCGTTCGTTATTTTTTAATTATATTTTAATTGTATTTATTTTTGTATTAAAATCTTTGATATTTTCATCTGTTAAACGAATACTATGGATTCCATGCATCAGATTTTATTTAATCCTCATCCGCTGTATGTATAAAATCCTTAACTTACATCATAAACGAATATGAGGAAAATGAAGCTATAAATTCCGATCCCCTCCCTTTCTGTCCTTCTAGATGAAAGTATCCGGAGTAGAGCAACGATAAAGTGAAAATTATGGGGAAAAAGGCAGCCGAAGGCGAGAGAGAGATAAATGTGTGACAGGGAGATGTATGAAGCGCATAATGATGCGCAGCGCAGTATTACGTCGACTTAATAGATGTTTCGCAAATAGAAAATCTCGCGCAGTAGGTTTAGCGACTCTATCCACCGGGATTTATTTATGACGAACGAGAAATCTAGTTTCTCGATACTTAATCTGTATGCGTGCTATATAATATTAAAATAATCTTGAGAATATAATTACAATTTTAAAAAAATGAAAAAAAAATTACATTCTGTTTGAAACGGTTTACTTTAACGGTTTACAACTAAGATTGCGTCAAATCCTTATTTAACCTTTACGAAAAGGTATCTGTCATGCCTTGATCATTATATTGTCAGCGATATAAAGTTTCTAATATATGAATATTTGACATATATTTTCTTGTATAGAACGTAATGCAAGAATTGATTTATAATTAAATGTCACGTTCAACATTCTATGATTGCGTGTTATATCAGAAAATATATACATAATGTTAGTGATTGCTGATCAGAAAATTTTACTAATTACTTTTCTGCAATTACGAAGAGAGCAAATCTTGACTTGAGAAAAATTTCGGCACTAATTTCAGCATTACATATGTATATTTTTCTGTAATTTTGCGAGAATAAGAATATAAGTATGGAATTATTTTGATATTTTAATATGTATAATTTATATTATTGACATTAAACTATTGAATGAAGCTTCAGCAACGTAAAAATTGTACATACAACGTGTTAAATTGTAATCTACTGGTAACTTAATTTTTACAGAATATTTTTCAAAATTGAAAAATTACGTATATAGATACATCGGGAAATGCGCTTCTGAAATTGGACGCAAATCCGAGAGAGAAGAACATGGCTTTGATGCCGCTCTACCATTACGGTAGTTTGACCCTTGACACAGAGGCGATTTGGGCAGCCCAGTTCGGAATTTCGGCGGTGCCGATTGAAGAACCGAACAGACACGGTGCTCAGTTACGGTTGCTCTCTCTCTCTCTCTCTCTCTCTCTCTTCCTTTCTCTCTTGTCTTATACTCTCCATGTGCAATATATAAGTAAATTCGCAACGGGATCGGGAGAGAGGGGTCGAGGCAGCTCCCCCCCCCCCGCTCTATTTCTTCGTATATGCGCCCCGGAACGCCCGATAATTTGTATACGTCGCGAAAACCGTGGGAACAAAAGCGCCGATACTTAGGTGTACACGGCGATCGTTATCTTTGCTATCGGGATACCGTCGTAAACTGTCGTATCTTTTAATGTAGCCGTGTTGTGCGGGAATAAGGTATACCGTCGCCTGAGAGAGCGGACATATGTACCTAGTACTGCGATACACGCACGCGGTATAGCTACGATGCATTTCCGTTTAGGTATAATGAGTTAATAATTTAGTGAGATAGCCTGTGAATGTTCGAGCAATTTGTCATAACGAAACGTAACTGATATTAATTTTTCTTAAGTCCCTTTTTTTTAATCCAAGATTGATAATTACGTGTGCATTTAATATAACATTATATATATATTCTATATATTTTATATAGCGGTAAAATGTTATATGTGAATGATTAAGATAATTCTATAATAATAGCACGTATATTTATGAAATATTTAATAAATGAAACTGACAATGAAAATTGGTCAATAATTATT